GATCCTCTGTGTGTCAAAACTATTTTCTGTGCGAATTATGAAATTAATTGGATACTGATAATGGGCACATAAACACTGAGACAGTGAAAATTGTCTTTACCTGAATGTTTTGTATATAATCATGTAGGTAAGGAAAATGTGAGGTGTTAATAGTGGCACACACACACTGCACTGTGGCAAAAAAAAAAGGATAATAGCTTTGCTTCGGTAGTGACTGGCCTATAGGGGACTATATTATGGTAATGTGAATTCACAATACATAGGCAAAAATGTCTATCCTAAAAATACATGATTCCAAACAGGCAATAGTATATAATACACAGGTAACTATCAGTCAACTGTAACAATATGCAGGCAACAAATGGGAAATTGTGACTATATAACAGCAATAAACTGGCAGTTCTAACTATATAGGCCAACAATGTGGCAACTGTGACAATATGCAGACCACGAACCAGCAACCATGTTAATATACAGTACAATCATAGCAATATGTGGACTACAAAAGGCAAGTGTGAAAATATACAGCCAAAAATTCTTCCTATTCAAGCAAAAATCTCATTCTTATTCTCTTCCATACCCGCAGCAAAATCCTATACTTTCCCAGAAAGATCCCAAAACAGCAAAAAAAAACCCCCTCCCCCCACAAAAATCCCTTTCCCCCCCAGAAAAGTCTCCTTACCGGCAAACATCTTTCCCACAGAAAATCCTCCCACCAGTAAACACTTCCCTTTCCCTAGTAAACTCCCTCCTTCAATTTAGTCACTTATCAGACCTCAGGTATGTGGAATTCGATAGATTAGGTCTCACAAGTCTAACTACGGTTAAGAAAATGTCGGAATATCCCCTTCTTACCTTTCAATATTTAACCTGGGGTACAGAAAAAAGGGAAATTTGTGTTGTAGTATCAATTTAAGAAGGGCTGATGGACATTGCTAGCAAATGTCAAATGTTTACTAGTGGCAGTGCTTGAAGCCAAGTATAATACTGCCAGGGCTGGTTTTACTCAAGTATATTTAACCCATATGAATAAAAGGTGACCTGTGTAAAGCTCCCCTGAAAGTATTATACAGTGCCTTGAAAACGTATTCATACTCCTTGAAATTTTCCACATTTTGTCATGTTACAACCAAAAACATAAATGTATTTTATTGGTATGTTATGTGATAGACCAACACAAAGTGGCACATAATTGTGAACCGGAAGGAAAATGATAAATGGTTTTCAAACTTTTTACAAAATAAATATCTGAAAAGTGTGGCGTGCATTTGAATTCAGCCCCCCTCCTGAGTCAATACTTTGTAGAACCACCTTTCGCTGCAATTACAGCTGCAAGTTTTTTTGGGGATGTCTCTACCAGCTTTGAACATCTAGAGAGTAAAATTTTTCCCATTTTGCAAATAGCTCAAGCTCTGTCTGATTGGATGGAGAGCATCTGTGAACAGCAATGTTCAAATCTTGACACAGATTCTCAATTAGATTTAGGTCTGGACTTTGACTGGGCCATTCTAACACATGAATATATTTTGATCTAAATCATTCCATTGTAGCTCTGGCTGTATGTTTAGGGTTGTTGTCCTGCTGGAAGGTAAACCTCCACCCCAGTCTCAAGTGTTTTGCAGACTCTTAACCCTTTGAGGACCGTAAGGTTTTGGAATGCCAAAAGAATACATTTTTTTGTTTTTAAAGTTCGTACACTTCAGTTGCTATAACTAAGCATTTCATGAAATAATTTGCAAAAAGCTAGATCCATTTGTTGTTTGTTGATAAGAACTAATATTATGACTCAAACCAAAAAAAAAAAAGAGTTTTAAGTTCTTAATCAGATGATACACGCAATTACAAACATGGAACAAATACGTCCCTTGGTCCTCAAAGGGTTAACAGGTTTTCTTGTAAGATTGCTCTGTATTTGGCTCCATCCATCTTTCCATCAACTCTGACCAGCTTCCCTGTCCCTTCTGAAGAAAAGCATCCTCACAATATGATGCTGCCACCACAATGTTTCACTGAGGGCATGGTGTGTTCAGGGTGATGTGCAGTGTTCGTTTTCCGCCACACATAGTGTTTTGCTTTTAGGCCAAAAAGGTATATTTTGGTCTCATCTGACCAGAGCACCTTCTTCCACATGTTTGCTGTGTCCCCCACATGGCTTCTCACAAACTGAAAACAGGACTTCTTAATGGCTTTCTTCTCACCACTCTTCAATAAAGGCCAGATTTGTGGAGCGCACAACTAATAGTTGTCCTGTGGACAGATTCTCTCACCTGAGCTGTGGATCTCTGCTTCTCCTCCAGAGTTACCATGGGCCTCTTGGCTGCTTATCTGATTAATGCTCTCCTTGCCCGGCCTGTCAGTTTAGGTGGAATGCCATGTCTTGGTAGGTTTGCAATTGTGCCATACTCTTTCCATTTTCGGATGATGGATTGTACAGTGTTCAAAGTTTGGGAAATTTTTTTATAACCTAACCCTTCTTTAAATTTCTCCACAACTGTATCCCTGACTGGTCTGGTGTGTTTCTTGTCCTTCATAATGCTGTTTGTTCACTAATATTCTCAAACAAACCTCTCGGGGCTTCACAGTACAGCTGTATTTATACTGAGATTAAATTACACACAGGTGGACTCTATTTACTAATTTTGTGACTTCTGAAGGCAATTGGTTCCACTAGATTTTAGTTAGGTAAAGGTAAAAAGCATGAAGGTAAAAAGCCTTCTCTGTGCAGCATCCTCCCAGCCCCCCTAATACTCACCTAATCCCCCTCTCAATGCACGATATGCACTGGTGTCTCAGCTATCCCGGGACTTCCTCTCCTCATTGGCTGAGACAGAAGCGGGAGCCAGTGTCTCTTACTGCTGTCAACAACAGCCAGTGATCCAATGAGAATAGAGAGGGGGCAGGGCCAAGATACGGCTCTATGTGTGAATGGATACACAGAGCAACGGGTGCCCTCATAGCAAGCTTCTTGCTGTGGGGGCACCCAACAGGAGGGAGGGGCCAGGAGCGCCGGTGGGGGGACCTGAGAAGAGGAGGATCCACGCTGCTCTGTGCAAAACCACTGCACACAGCAGGTATGTATAGACTTGTTTGTTATTTAAAAAAAAAAGCCTTTAGAATCACGTTAAAGTGGTATTAAACCCAAATGTAAACATTTAATATATTGCAGCTTTAGATGTGGTGGCTGGATTACTTTTATTTTTTTTAGGTTTTCTTTCTTGTATTTTCACTTGGTGATCCTGCCTAAGTTTGTTTTTTTCAACAGAACAAGCTTTACTCCAGATGTAGCAGTTTTTGGGTTAAGACAAAGCACTTAAAACTGACAGTGGCGCTTACAGTAATCAGCTATTACTGATTTATTTATGTAAAACCTTTTATCCTAATAGGAAAAAAATGCTGTAACTGTTGCTGTATGCTGTAAATGTATCTAAATATGTTAGTACATCTAACACTCCCCTCCCCCCCAGATTAAAGCAAACCATAGATGATTCAATTTCCTTTCTTTCCAGCTCAGGTGGAAGGAAAGAAAATCACTCGATTTCCCCATCAACACTGAATGTTCTGCCAGTTGGGAGCCTTCCCGACCTGCGGAACGCAATGATTACTGTTAGCGGCTATAACTGCTGGCAGTAATCGCATGTGAAAAAATCTGACAGGTTGTTTGTACCCAAGTTGATTGATGGATCAACTTAGCTACAACCAGTCTGCCCATTGATACATTAGTCCATCTATGGTCAGATTTATGATGCTGCTGTCCAAAGGTATCTCTGTTGCTCTTTCATCTAGTGGGGGCACTCTTACTCAGGAAGTGTGTTACTGGCCAGATGACTAGGTGAAAAACAGAAGAAAAAAAGACTAAAAAAAGAAAACTAATGCAGCCTTTACATGTAATGATTGGTAAGCTGCAATATATTACATTTTTGGTTTTGGGTTTATTATTAGTTTAAGGATAGTGGTGGTGCCATAACACTCTTTACATTAAACTCCAACAAGTCACAGCTTTCAATAAAGATTTATACTGCATTGTTTACAAATTCTTTAACAAAGAAGTTATGGTATTCATATCTTAGATACTGTGAATGGGGCAAACAATTCTGAAATCACTGTATTGCAAGAACACTCAGTCTTACGAAGGCTCTGACCTTTGCGAGACTCTCAAAAAAAGATGGTCTCCCTTCAGATTTTGAAAACCTTATAATTTCCCGTTCTTAGAATTCCTGTTTTTTTTATCTCTGTGAGAAACTTACATTTTGGAGTATCTTCTTTGTTGTATCTATGTTTGTAGATACATGTTGAGGTCTCCCAATGGTTTGGAAGCTCAAAATTCCTGTTATTGCGCTAGATTCTTCTGCTTCTGAGATACAAGTGTTTCCTTGATTTGCCAAGACAGGATCACTTATTTTTGTTTATCTAATAGGCCCTGTTATGTTTAGAGTAACCATAAGAGCATTGACCCTTTTCGCTGAGTACACAACATTTTTTTTACTGCTTTCTCATAACCATGAAGAAATGACAGCTCATTTTTAGTTGTTTTCAGCCTGTTTTTGACATTGATCCACTATATAAATAAGATGATTGAACATGTAAGTAACAGTTCAGAAGAAAAAGAATATAAACAAATAGGCATTGCTTTTTTAATGTATTTAATTCCTATATAAAAGGCCATCACCCAATTATTTGAATAGGGGGGTAATAGGAGTTAGGTTGTGGCTAGCCTCTGCAAGTGTGCTTAGAGCTGGAAATCACAGGCACACAATGTGCACTTCCTCCTCCACTGCTCACGTGTTCTTTCTTATGTAAAAATATACATGAATAATGAAGTGTTCATGAATCCCTCTTATAATGACGGCATGTCCAAATTCTGGATTCTACATACCACTATCATTGTGTACACGTTTCAGTCATTCATGCATTGTACTGTGTCATTTTCACAAGTCTGTGCATCTATTGCAAATTATTTTGGATTATGTTATAGCTTTTCTTCTTTATTCACTGTTTCCTAGTTTTTATGAGGCCACAGAGGAATTTGGAATCAGTGGATCCCCAATTTACAATACGAAGAAAAATGGAGCAGCTGAGAGAGGAGAAAGAACTCATAGATAACCTGCGCGAGGTAACTTACTCAGAATACATACAGTGCATTCAGAAAGGATTCAGTCCCCCTTCACTTTTTTTCAAATTTTGTGATGTTGTTGCCTTATACTACAGTTGTTTAGCCACTTGCCCTACAGAGGACTTACCCCCCTTCCTGACCCAGCCATTTTTTGCGATACGGTGCTGTGTTATTTTAACTGACAATAGCACGGTCATGCAATGCTGCACCCAAATTAAATTTATGTCCTTTTTTCCCCACAAATGGAGCTCTCTTTCAGTGGTATTTGACTGCTTCTGTGGTTTTTATTTTTTGTGCTATGAAGAAATAAAGAGCGACAATTTTGAAGAAAAAAAAAAAAAACAATAATTTTGACTTTTTGCTATAAAACATATCCAGTAAAAAAATCAAAAAAATCATATTTCTTCATAATTTAGGCCAAAATGTATTCTGCTACATGTCTTTGCTAAAAAAAAATCCCAATACGTGTAAATTAATTTGTTTACGTGAAAGTTATAGCGTCTACAAATGGCGGTATATACAATTAGGTTCATATATATTTGGACACAGGCACAATTTTAGATTTTTTCAGGTATTTACCAAAACATATTGAAGCTATAGTTACAGTTGTGCTCAAAGGTTTACATACCCTGGCAGAAATTGTGAAATTTTGGCATTGATATTGAAAATATGACTGATCATGCCAAAAAATGCACTTTTATTGAAGGATGATGATCATATGAAGCCATTTCTTATCAAATAGTTGTTTGGCCCCTTTTTAAATCATAATGATTACAGAAATCACCCAAATGGACCTGATCAAAAGTTTACATACCCTGGAATGTTTGGCCTTGGTACAGACACACAAGGTGACACACACGGGTTAAAATGCCAATTAGAGGTTAATGTCCCACATCTGTAGCTTTTTAAATTGCAATTAGTGTCAGTGTATAAATAGTCAGTGAGTTTGTTAGCGCTTACGTGGAAGCACTGACTAGGCTAGATACTGATACATCAGAAAAGAACTGTCAAAGGTTCTGCGTAACAAGGTAATGGAACTTTATAAAGTATCTAGCCTAGTCAGGGCTTCCACGTAAGAGCTAACAAACTCATTTTCTATTTATACACTGACACTAATTGCAATTTAAAAAAAGCCACAGATGTGGGGCTTTAAACTCGAATTGGCATTTTAAGCCGTGTGTGTCACTTTGTGTGTCTGTACCAAGGCCAAACATTCCAGGGTATGTAAACTTTTGATCCGGGCCATTTGGGTGATTTCACAATTTCTGCCAGGGTATGTAAACTTTTGAGCACAACTGTATATAATGGATATGGGCTGAAAGTTCACACTCTTAGGTTTAATTTGAGGGTATGTACTTCCAAATTGGAAGGGTTTAGGAATTACAGCTCTTAAGAATAGCCATCCCCCATTTTTCAAGGGACCAAAAGTAATTGGACAATTGAATCAAAAGCTGTTTCATGGCCAGGTGTGGGCTACTCCTTCGTTATTTCTTCATCAATTAGGCAGGTAAAAGGTCTGGAGTTGATTCTAAGTGTGGTATTTGCTTTTGGAATCTATTGCTGTGAACCTACATCATGCGTTCAAAGGAGCTGTCCATGAAAGTGAAACATGCCATTGTAAGGCTTCAAAAACAAAACAAATCCATCAGAGAGATAGCAGCAACATCTGGAGTGGCCAAATCAACAGTTTGGTACATTCTGAGGAAAGAAGAACGCATTGATGAGCTCAGCAACATAAAAAGGCATGGACTTCCACGGAAGACAACAGTGGTGGATGATCACAGGATCCTCTCTATGGTAAAGAAAAACCCATTCACAACATCCAGAAAAATGAAGGACACTCTCCAGGAGGTGGGCGTATCATTATCAAAATCTACAATCAAAAGAAGACTTCACGAGATTAAATACAGAGGGTTCACCACAAGGTGCAAACCATTCATAAGCCTGAACTTTGCCAACAAACATCTAAAAAAAAAACCAGACCAGTTCTGGAAAAGCATTCTTTGGACGGATGAAACTAAGAATAATCTCTACCAGAATGACGGGAAGAAAAAAGTGTGGAGAAGGCTTGGAACAGCTCATGATCCAATGCACACAACGTCATATGTAAAATTCTGCAGTGTTTAGAGATATACTGTCAGCCCAGATTCAGCCAAATGCAAGAAAATTGATTGGACGGCGCTTCACAGTACATATGGACAATGATCCTAGACACACTGCAAAAGCAACCCAGGAGCTTTTGAAGGAAAAAAAGTGGATCATTCTGCAATGGCCGAGTCAATCACCTGATCTCAACCCCATTGAGCATTCATTTCACTTGCTGAAGGCAAAACTAAAGGCCAAAAAGACCCACAAACAAAGAACAACTGAAGACAGCTGCAGTTAGAGCCTGGCAAAGCATCAAAAAGGGTTCCAGACTTCAGGCAGTCATTGCCAGTAAAGGATTCTCAACAAAATATTAAAAATTAACATTTTATTTATGATTATATTCATTTGTCCAATTACATTTGAGCCTCTGGTTGCAGTTCCTAAAATTTGTACTTGATATTTATGTTCAATACCTTGAATTAAAGCTGAAAGTCTGCACTTCAAATTAATTTAGATTGTTTCGTTTTAATTTATGCTGGTGGCATACAGAGCCAAAAGTATGAAAATTGTGCCTGTGTCCAAATATAGTATATGGACCTAACTGTATACTGGAATTTATATATATATATATATATATATATATATGATACATACACACACTAGTAATGGTGGCGATCAGCGACCTGCGGGATTGCGACAGGCATTCTGACACGGGGGGGGGGGGGGGGGGGGAGAACTGACTAACTGCCACTGACATCCCCAGTGACACAATACAGTGATCAGTGCTAATAAAAAGCACTGACACTGCACTAATGACACTGGGCAGGAAGGGGTTAACATTTGGGGAGATCAAAGAGTTAACTGTGTGCTATCATTTTATATTTGCACATTAATAATTTTTTTTAATTTATGAAGTAGCGCAACAAAATTTTCTATTATTCTGTGACTATGTTAATATCTCTTAGTGTGTTCGCAGCTTTTTCCATTTCTCTATTTTAATTTTCAGCTGTTTTGTTCACCTAAGTGCAGTTTACATATAGAATTTGTTTATAAGTCATAATATACTGTGTTAAATATTATAAATTGTTCACAGGAACATTTAGTAATTTGTGTCCCCTTGGTTCCAGAATATTGAAATCAGATTAAAGATCTGTCTTCCTGAAGATTTGGGATCAGCTTTGATGGATGGAGTTGTTCTCTGTCACTTAGTGAATCAAATCCGCCCCCGGTCAGTAGGGAGTATCCATGTACCCTCTCCAGCTGTTGTAAGTCCAAATTAAAATGTATTTTTTCTGTACAGCTTTTTTCCAGATGTTATATCCGAGGAACAACAAGTGGTCTGTGTGGTCAGTTTAATTGACTGCATCTGGATCCCAGTTGGCTTTGTCATCATCTTCATAACAGGCTTTTCCTCTATGGTAACATCGAATAACCAGGAAGACTCAAACATGTTCAAAGGAAAAGCAAAAGTTTTTTTTTCCAGCAAGATGCTGTGTAAAAAAGTGATTGTACACTGTTGATGTTTACATCACCCCCTGAACGAGTCATTCATGTGGTGGCAATGCAGGCCATAAATTTTATAAGCAATTACAGCAAAGAGTTTTTCCTTAGGAATAAAGGTTTTACATAAATAAAAGCTGATCATTGTAAACACCCCTTTCACTGTTAAATGGTTTGTCCATCTTTATCTGATGTATTTGCTGGAGAGCTTTTTGTTTTGAAAAACAACAAACTTGCTAGCTGGATCAACAGATAAAAATAGAAAAAAAAGCCTAAAAAGAAAACTAATGCAGCCATCACATCTAAGAATTGGTATGCTGCAATCTAATAAATGTTTGCTTTTGGGTTTAACACTGCTTTCCGTCATTCATTCATTTTGCACTTGCACTGCTGGCATTTCCTGCACATTGTTAATATTTACAGGTTGGTCCTGAATTCATTAGGCCGTGGCAGCAGCACCTATGGTCCATTTAAGCTGTAGCATGTAAACATTATCACAAACATTTATATCTGTACAGTGTTTTAAAGTACAGTCAAAATCGGGCTGTGAATGCAAATCATTTACAGGTTACAGACTAAAACAGTGTTAATGGGCCCTTATCCTACAATGCTGCTGCATTCAGATCTGTATAAATTACAGGCTATGAATATAGGACATTGTACGTCCGTGTGCATAATATATACTCCTCCACTATAATTATGTGATAATATGGTTGAAAACAGATTGGTGAATACTGTAGTGCTGAATTTTTATCATTAAAATTGTTTTTATTTTTGCAGCCTAAACTCAGTATGGCTAAATGTAGGAGAAATGTGGAGAATTTTCTAGAAGCATGTAGAAAACTGGGAGTACCAGAGGTAAATATTTTAATATTAAGCATATTACTGTATTTTATTGGCGGCTGAGCATGTGGATGTAAGTTAAATTTTATTAGTTAATTTACCGAATCATCCCCATTGCTTCTGCATCAGTCCATGCTTCGTTTTGTTTATAATGACAAATAATGCAACTAAGAATGGAGTTCTTGAGTTCTCCTTCTGTGTGTGTGTTTTTATTTTTTAATAATACCTAATAATGAGATGTGACTAAACATGAACTTGGAAATAAAAAAAAAAAAAGTTGTGTTACCTGCATTTTAAAGAAATTGTTTCAAGCTGCAGAAAGATTTAAAGTCAGAAGTGAGTTTTCCTTAAGTTTCTACAAAAATTGATTCCTAAGATTCTCTTCAAGAGACTCTAATATTTGTAAGAAGGTGGATATGCATCAGGCAGATCCAGTTTATTTCCAGGTCATGTGACTGATAGGCTTCTTATATTGTGATTGGAGATGACATTTACACAGAGAAGCTTAGTTCTACAGTATATGTCATATTATCCAAGGATGCACTTAAATAAATTTTGCTCCCAAAATACCTGTTGTAGCACAAATCTGAGCTGTTTCCGAACATCATTTTAGAGATGAATGGAACCTGTCAAACTTGAAGGTCAAAATGCCAGGTGATCTATACACTGATCTATAGTTTTTTGTGCTGAGACAAAGTGTAAAAGACTGAAGTCAGCAGTTATTTTATTATCGATTTTACAAGATAACTTATGACTTGTTAAATAATTTTACTTTTTATTACTGTAATTTAGAGGGTCCTCAGATATTTTAAACAAAAGGACCAAATTACTGTCCATCAGATTCTAGGACAGAGGAAAACTATGGCCAGTGGGAGTAAAAAATTCCCTGGTTTCAGGATCAGGGGTCAGCGAGAGCAAAAATGCCCCAGAGTTAGTGATCAGTGGGAGTAAGAAATTCCCTAGTGCCTGTGTTTAGTCAGGTGGGGAGAAATAATGCCATTGTTTTTCTCAATAATAGGTCCCCATTATGTGTGTGTGTGTGTGTGTGTGTGTGTGGGGGGTTTTTCATCCAAATCAGTGTCCCATTGTAATTGTCAGAGTCAGGAATTGTGCCCCATTGCTTAGTGTCAAGGAAAAGGAATTGTGCTATTTTGTTTGTGTCGTGAGGGTGGGGGGGGGACTGTGCCCCATTATTGGTGTCACGGGGAGGGGAGGGATTGTTCCCCATTTTTGGTGTCAGGGGGAGGACTTGTTCCCCATTGTTGGTGTCAGGGGGATGAACTGTGCCCCAAAGACTGGATACATGAAAGTAAATTATTAGTATTATTATTATACAGGATTTATATAGCGCCAATAGTTTGCGGACTGAATGCAGCCCAAAGGTTGCAGTTTGGGGTCCACTGCTGTAAATGTATCTTAATCATGTAAAAGTATTTAAAGTGGTTGTAAAGCCTATTTTATTATTAAAATAAAAAATATGCTCTTCTGGAGTCCCCTGCCAACACTTCTCTGTTCCTGCGGGTGCCCCCATAGCAAGCTGTGTGTTATAGGTGCGCTTCTGAGCCAGGCTGTGTGCATCTATAGACACACACATCTGCTCAGCTGCACCTCCTGCTCCCTTTTCTCAGGATTTGAGTGACAGCAGCAGGTGCCAATGGCTCCCACTGCTGCTCTTGTGTCCTTTGAGACCAGGAAATGAAGGGAGAAGACCTGCAGCCAGGCACAGTGCTGAACTGAGACAATTTATAAAGGCGGGAACAGGGTGTAAACTGTGATTTCTGACTACTCTGTTTAGCATAATTGTGCTCTTATGTGTACAAAATGGCAAACTTATGAAATCGTATTATTTTAGAAAGCATAATGGCAATATTAAATTGAATATCCTAGGGGCTCCAAGCTGAATACAAATTGGTGTGGCAGTCTCCCAGGAAATTCTATTCCCTTCTCCCATACTATACATTTGACTTGTGTGAAGGTGGCTTTTTTTTCCCCAACAGTGCCACAGTCCTTGACTTTTTTATTCCTGTTTGATATTTAAGCCATTGTCTGTTTCACGTAGATATATAATTTGATTTGTTTTGGATCTATAGTTTTTTTATCTGTATGTCTGTACTAATGTTTGTATGCACAATTGGGTTTAAGTGTAACATTGTTGTAATGTCAAACAACATTAACATCAATAAGTGTCTGTAAATTGTTTTTTTTTTTAACTAACAAACAGGTTTATACTTACCTCCTCCGTCTAATAGAATTGCACACAGTGACCCCAAACCTCCTCTTTTCAGATCCCCCACTGGCACTCCTGCCTCTTCCCCTCCCTATGTGACCACATAGAAAGTTGCGTTTTATGGGGGCATTCGTACAGGCTTGATCCTGAGCCTCCCTGTCTGCGTCTATTGACGCAGACAGTGGAACTTGGCCTCGCCCCCTGTTCCCTTGTCACTGACTTTGATTGGCAATTTCAGTATCCTCTCTCTTCCTTGCTTGGACCTTTTTCGAGTAGCAAACACCAGTTATGATTTTCACCTAGTGATGAATCACCATTTTGAATTTTAACTTGAAATTGCGATCATCACCATTCAGTAAAAATGGCAACTCACCAAAAACTCAGTACGGTCAGTATGCGGTTTTTTCACAATAAATTGAATCTTCAACAGTGCAACCTTTGAAGTGAGACTTCCTAAAAGTCAGTAAGCACTTGTTTATGATAAAACTTCCTAGGATTAGCAGTACACATTGTAGCATACACTCTGAAACTGCTATCCAAATCAAATATTGGCAACCCTCCCTTGGATGCCACCAAAAAAGAAAAAGTAAAAACTTTAAAGGTACAGTTTGTGACTAACACGGTGCCTGACCCCTGCCTTTCTCACCAACTCTTGTGACAAAGGATCAGCCAATCTCACACCATGCTGTCACTTGCATAACAATACCACCCTCAGCTGCACCCTGCACAGAGATTTTCCAGCTCGCTGGACCACAATCTAGATGCCAGCAGCTTGAGAGTGATTGGCACTGGGTTAGGTTCATTACGAAATTAACCATTCAAACTCCAAACTGCCACCAGATAGCTTTGGAACTATCAACTCTTCACAATGTTAGCAAGAACAAATGTGAACAATAAATGTCTGTAACACACAGTGTCACCAGAGACAGGTATGTTCAGAGAATTATTATATACAGTAGCAATCTTCAAGAGACAGGGATTCTTTAGTTTGTATTAAAAGTAATTTAACACTTTTCAAAATAGGGTTTATTAATGAAAAGGTCAAATGGTACAATTAAAATATTTAAGAAGAGGATGTTACATAGACATAAAGAGAACAATACTGTAACAGAGAAATAAAAAGAGGTGAAAATGGAGAATACTTGCGAAGTCCAATTGTCCAAGCAAAAATGTTGCCGTTGCTCTCCTTTAAGATGTTCCTTGGTTGATGGTAAAACGAGAGCTTTTTTTAATAAATCCTGTCAGTCCCTTTTCTGTGATCTCAAAGGGGTGCGGACACAGACCAGCTGACCAATAATCCGGTTTAAGGGATGGGCGCTGGGAGACCACCTCATTTACGACCAATTCCCAAGTACAGTTTTACACTAATATTAATAACTTCCAATACATGCAGGTGGTATTCTAGAAGATGGCAGAATATTATTCAGAATTATATTTCGTATCCAGGGATACCAAACACAGTGTACCTTTGTCACCCAGGCAAGAGCAGCCTGCTTTCTCTCCTTTTGTATGTGCTTGGGTAGTCATGTATGACCTTGATTTATTTGGTATGATATTCCCCATTCAAATATATACCTAATATTAATGTGTCCTGTCCCTGTTGAATTCTATGAATTGTATGTGGAATTGTTCGGTTGTGGAATAGACCTTTTTTTGGCACGCTCTGCATTCCTAGAGCTTTATTGGCCTTACTGGTCATGTGTGACCGCTTGACTGAGTTATTATTGTTTTACGATAGGGCAGAGGAAGTGTATTTTATGGTTTGTGGAAACAGACATCCTACCAAGACTAAATAGCTGTTTACAGCTGGCATCCAGGCCTAGACTCTGGCGTCTATTGTGTTTTAATAAAGACGAGGTTCTTTTGAAGTTCATAAAATTTACAGCTACAAATTCCATAGTTTGCAAAGGGGGGGGGGGGGGGGGGGGGGGAGTAAGAGCACTGTTCATGAAAACAAAATGTCTGAGACTTTAACAAGATGGCTGTCATGTACAGCTCCATGTCTCTATTGCGCGCAATCGTTACACAGATAGGTTCACAACTTTTGTTAAAATATAAAAAAAAACTGCTGACAATTGGTATATACAGTATATAAACCACTACGCTCTGATCTTGCTGGTATATTAAAAAAAAAAAATGACACCGGTCAGAGACACGCTGCTCACATACATTAAAGTAGTTTTCACGCAATATTTAATTTGTCATAAATACAATTTCAGTATAATAATGAGGAGTTTGAAAAGGCACACACAAAACTTTTTTTTTTTTTTTGGAGGGTGGACTGTTATAAACAGCACTTTTGAAACCCTGATGTGTTTTTTGCCAGAGAAACCTTTTAAAGCTGAACTCTAGGGAGAATTAAAATCTTGCCTTGCAGTGAGGCTGCCCCTGCACAGCAGGAGTTAAATTCTTATTTTTTTTTTGGGGGGGGGGCACAAAAAGCAGTTTTGCTTACCCAAGCCTCCACTCCTGCAGACTCTTTCTATGTGTAAAACTAATCTTGGCAGCCTTTTCTGACATAAGCTCCGGTAGTCAGATGCCCTGTCACGTCATCAAGACCTATACAGGGCTGTTGCCCTGAATCGGACATGAGGATGCCAAGGAACACTGGAGAGCATTGTCTACAGGGGTAGTGGAATAGCATGTAAGTAAAAACTACTCTTCCTGTCCTCTAGATATAAGCAAGTGTTTAACCCTTGCAGTGCACTGCACATGGGGCATTTCAACTTTTCCCAGAGTTGGGCTTTAAGTCAGTGTGGTGGACACCAAAATGTGTCAGGCATTAGCAGCAACAATGAGGGACACATCTACACTG